GAATTTTAAATACCTGCTACCTATCTTTTTTTTAAGATTATATAAAGAATTCAATTCTTAGAAAAGTTCATAATTTAATAGACATGTGAAAACTGCAAAATTTAGTTTTATATTTATACTCTATTGTTAAACCTTGAGTAATTTGCTTATGTAATAACATAAGCCGAGCTAGCTCATCTCACAAATATTATTAATAACCTAGAATAAAGCCTGCTCTAGTAGATTTGATTCCATCGATTAATGCTTTAATACATTTTGAAGCTGTTTCAGTCCATGCAAGGTATTATTTTAAGTTTAATTTTTTTGGTCTTGACCCCTTGATTATTAGACTCTGTTTTAATTGCATATAACAATTCTTTTAAATTTAATGAAAACATTTAGAAAAGTAGTGTCACTATGATAAAAAAGTGTATCATCAGCATTTTGACAGGATTTATCTTTACTAGAATCATTCCAGATACAACAATTTCCATTAGTATATTCTATATTTTAATCATCTTGTCTTATTCATAAATATCCTAGCATTTATCTAATGCTGTATAAACTGTGAAGATTGAAATAGCAAGTTTATCATCACGTATTAACTATATTCAGATATAAATCGTTCTCCAAATATTAAATAATATAGTGTATGAGGATGGATTTTTATCATCTAATAAACAATACAAAAAATATTAATTATTGCCTTAAATTCACAAATTAAAAAATTGAGATAAAAATTGATAGAACAGCACTGTTTGTTTCTTAGATGGTAATTAGTATGAGAAAGATATTATATGAACAATGTAATAAATCTAAGCTTCATTTAAAAGAGTTTAAGTTTCCAACTCAAATTTCATAAAGTCTCATAACAACTTTCACACAAGCAACTTTACATTATATCCTGTTTTCATTATTCCTGTTCATGATAAATCACTTCAAGAAAAATTTTAATTTTTTTACAATATTTTGAGAGGATTTTTGATCAGAAGGCTTTACTTTCAAACTTATAAAATCACTTTTATTAACTTTAATTTTTAGAATTATTAGTTTTGAGAGTAACTATGATGATTGTGAAATCACTCTGCAAATATATTAGAATTGCCATTTCATAGATTATAGAACATTCAATTACTTTCATTTAAATCTATGTTAAAATAGGAAATCAAATTGATATTTAGAGGATTATAAGTTTTATTAAATTCAATTCCATTTTTACATCAAAATAATTAAGTGAATAGGATGCAGATGATAGATTGAATATTGATAACCAATAAGGTTCTGAATTTTGCAGGATTTTCATTTGAAAACTTTAAAAAAAAACCAAATCATTATTCATAAAAGTGTCTCAAATAACATAAATTTTATCTAAAAAATGGAGAAAATAGCAATATTAATGATTTACATCACCACATTTTAATAAAAACTATCCCATCTACTAACCTTTTTACTATTTTGATATTCACCTTAGTAAATTATTTTTTATCAAATAACAAGTTTTCACCTTTCTCAATCCTTTTCCCAATTTTAATTCCTTCATCAAATTCATCATATGATCCTCCACCACTATAGATATTATTAAGATATTGACATTTATTAAGTTTTTCCACATGTATAATTAATATCTCATTACAATATTTTTTTTGCCATTTTTGTATCCATAATCATCACTCAAGTCAATCCACTACCCAATCTTATTCCCATTATCATCATATGTTCCACCACCACTGAAATATTTTATATTATATTATATAATAAAATTATATTACACAACTTCTCCAAACATATCTAAATCCCATCTACCAACTCTTTTACCATTTTAATATTCACCATAAATAATGACTTATGAATACTCATAAAACCCATCAAATAATTCAACCCAAGTTAATATCATATATTTTTTTTATCTGAGATAGGTTGATGTATGTTAAATTGAAAATCAATAAAAAATAAATAATGATGTTAAATAAAAAATAAGACAACAATAAATTGTAACCATTAATTCAAATTAGTATAAACAACATAAAAATTTAATATATAAGGCATATCCCAAATATAGGGTCCTGTCTAAATTGAGTCAAAGATCCTTTCTAATTAACTAAAATTCCCAAAGATAATTTATGCAAAAAGATAGATTATTTGAAATTTAATTCATAAAATAAGATAGATATTAAAGTAAATAATTATAATTCTTATATGTAAAATATAAACTTTATTTTTAAAAGTATTTCAATTCGTAAACATGAAATGATAAAGTTTAATCATTCTAACTATTAAATAGTTTCCATCCTCAGTAATATTTCCATAATTTTTGCAAGATCTACAATCAATTAGTTCACTTTGAATATTAAATGATTAATTTTGATAACTAGATATTGACATATTTGTTATGCTTTATGATAAATATTTACTTAGTATTATTATAAATAGAAGGAAATAAGGATTATCTATCTTTAAAATCTAAATTCTTTAAGTTAATTTGCAACTCTTTTTTGTCAACAAACTTTTCTATTTCTTATTTAAATATATGAATAGAACCCTAATTTTCTTGGCATCAAGCAACTGTATCTTTATTAAGAAAACAAACTCTAAATCCATTATCATTTTTCAAAATTTCTAAAACTTACTTAAACTTAAATGTTCTTTCATTTGCCTTCTTTTTCCAAATTAAAATTGTTTTATCATCACTAAAATGAGACTAATTGTGTTTCATCTTCGATTCTAATCATTTAACCAATATGTTTACTATGTTTATTAAGCTAATAATGAAACATCAACTAATTGTTATCTGTATTTAAAGTCCAAACTTTAATTGATCCATGACCAGAAAATATTAAATTTTCTCTTTAATTTAATAATAAACACTATATAATTGACTAAGCGTCACAAGGTTATGATGGTTCCCAATAAATTGAATGAATTAACCATCTTTTTTCTTCAAATAATTTTAAAATCTATACTTCCAGTATTAAACCAATATATCTTTTTACTAAAAATAATACAAGTGACATCAAAATTATGACCTTTTCAGGTTACTCATGAATATCCTTTTTCAAAATTCCAAATCTTTACATCTTTTTTAGATGCTACCCATTATTGAACCAAATTTATTCAATACAAGTGCAAAACACAATTATTCTTAATACACTTCTGAAATTTAATGATAAGTTATCTCTTTATGATGAATGTTTGTCAAAAATAGATCCAATCGGACACTCTATTTGATTAACTTATACTTTTTTATTGGTTTAAGGTCTTCATAATATAGTTTCTTCTAAAGTAATATGTTTCTTTTCTATTATATTTATAATTTATTTGATTATAGCAACAGAACTTTCTAATTTATTTTAGAAATTCTTATTTATTTTATTTATTCTTTCTGCTTCGAAATATCATTATTCTTCATCACATTAATCTTCATATTTTATTTAGTTCATCTTTATATTAATGAGAATTCACTATTACAATATCTAAAACTTTGGTTAGGTTTTCTTTATGTTGATATAAGTATTTAATAAATTAATCAATTTCATAATTTTTTTATTTTCTTAAAGTATTAAACTAGTAATTCAACTTCTCCGTAATTATAATTAAAAATCAATCTATACTAATTCATCATTTAATGTTAGATTTTAGTTTCCTTTCTGTTCTTCTAAGCAATTCAGCACAAATCAATCAACCTTTCTTTTAACTTGAATTGTTATTCATCAAGCACCATTAGAACTGAACAATCCTTATGTTTAAAAACACATTCCATTTAGTTAACATCTTTAATCATTTGTGATTCTTAATTAAAGAAATCAATATCATCTTCTATGCCTGATTTTATCAATAAAATTCCTGATATTAATTAGTTCCTAAT